ACCCCACCGCACCGCACCGCGTCGCGTCGCGACGCCGTGCTCTGCATCGAACACGGCCTTCTCAGATTGACGCGTGAATGCACGGCCTGAACATTCTTAGCACGACATTGCAGGCGCCCCGGCACTGCATTTTGCCGCGCCAGTAAGGTTGCCAACCCTGATTTACACGAAATTTCAAACTACATACTAATGAATTCGCCATTAAGTCGATCTCCAGCGATTTTCTTTCTCACATACTACCTATGTAGTAAAGAGCCAATATTGCAATGATGCTATAAAAAAGCCGATTTTTTTTATAGAAAAAGTGGAATTATATGTCACTGACTTTGAGCGTGTTATTTTTTTGATAAAACACAATTTCCTCAATATTAATTAAAAGTAAGCAAACCATTCTGTTAGCTGATGCCTACTGTATATATTATGTTCTTCAACATTTTTTGTAGAGTTGATTAATTTTGAGAAAGTTTCTAAGTGTGACGGTCCAAGGGACTTACATAGAGTGATATAGTGTAAGTGTGCAAGTGTAAAATATAGTGGTCAGTGAGAACCCGAATTTGGAATAAACAGTTGACGGATCGCAAGCGTGGGAAAGTTTATTTATTTTATTCGCCCGAGTGACAAACGAGCGAAAGGTAATCGTGACGGTATAAATAAATAACAGAAAAAGATAGACAAATAAAACAAATAAATTAAGTCTAGAAAGCAACTGTAATGAAATTACAATTTTTATTTTGATTGTGAGACAAGTGAATAGAATGAAAAAGATGCAAGTGCGGAATTAAAAAAAAAATGAAAAGGGACATTTTGAAACATTTGTAAACTACGGGAATTAATTTATTTGCAAAAGGGGGCAATTACGTGTTTATCCTAACGATTGATGGTAATCTCCCGTTTCCTGTACAGGAGAGACTTCCACCCTCACGACCCTAAACAAAGTTTGTAATACGGTACAAAATTCCGCTTAGTGTGACAGTTATTCGTATTTACAAATACGAGGAGGAAGTTAATGTTTTAATTATTTAAAGGGTAAGTAGAGAAGAGGGAGTGGTACCGATTCATTACTGAGTGCGATGTTGATAGAATTTTGTCCTGAAAAGTATAACTTTGTGTTGTTGCTAATGAAGCGAATAGTGTCAAAGTCAAAGTAATTAATATACATACATACAAATCTGGGAAGAATACGTAAAGACCGCGTATGCATAAAATGATCTGTTTGAGTTTAGAGTTAGTTTTATCAAATTATTATGTTACATAACCGCAATACGTTAGAAATAACATTACCGTGTTTGTCGGACTCCAGAGACAGGAGTTGTTGCAAGTGAGCCCAAGTGGACACTGGGAGTATTGTTTCGAAACACTCATAAGGCAAGAATATTTGAAGTTGTGTTCGTGGCGTGGGGAGCATTAAGAGCCCCTTATCTATTACATTCATACCCAACTGCTTTCATTATGTGTAGATGTGATTTCGACACATGTTAAAACAAAGAAACAAGTCACCCTAAAAAAGGAATACTAACATCTTAGAAAAACTTTCATAAAACCACAACAATGCAAACTGAAAAACAATGCTATTTTTGACAAAACGGCGCTTTTAGCAAGAATTGATAAGAAAATATGTGCCCATTGTTAGCAGCTCATGAGCACTGTATGCAGCACTCATGTAGCACTGCATGCGCACTGTATTGTCAGAGATAGATTTAGATAGATTTGATATAGACAGAAATGCGATATAATACTACATAACCGTTACTAAGGGGCGAGAAAGTATGTACTGTTTTAGCTCCGTTTTACTTTCCAGTATACGTGCGTATATACGGAGTAATATATGTTGTATAGGGAAAGTTACGTAATGCTATGGAAAATCGATTTCGACATTTCAACTGAAATACATGTTTTTGTAGTCTCCTGATACCAAAAGAGTGTTGTTTTTTCAAAACGTCCGTCCGTCTGTAAACATCACAAGCGTCTAAACCATTCGTACGATTTTTTCCAAAATGGATAATCCCGGATCGATGTCGCTTCACTAGAGGAGCAGCGATTTTGAAAACCTTTCTTTAAAATTTAGGGGTTCTTTTCATGAACCATCCCGGGCATTTTCAAAGTTTTCTCAAAAAAGACTTTTTTCTTTAAATTTCTTGTAAGAATAGAGTAATATATTACTCGCGCAACTTTTCTTGAACGATGACCTTGCTTCTCCCTCTCTGTCACAATAAACAGTTGAAGCAAAAGCTCGCAGCGAGCACTGATGACAACATTCCAAACACATCTTCACTGGCGCGATATAGAAACTATTTTTTGTTGAAGACGAGAACTGTTGTCCGTGATTTTCTCCACAAACGTGTAAAGAAATGACCGATTATCCATCACAGAAGATACCTCGAACTCCTGAGAAAGTTAGAATGCAAATTATCGAGAAAGTTGCGAAGACATGACTGATTCTCCAGAAATTGGCATTTCTTCATCAAATCTAGTGGCCGTTTTTGTAACTAATACCCCTCACTCTGCCCTCATTTCTTCAATCCATCGTTCAAGAAAAGTTGTGCGAGTAATACTGATAAAGGCGGCATAGGTGCGATTTTCAGGGTTAAATTCACTACACTTACGGGAACAATGGCCCTGGTAGTTGACGTGCCCGGAATCACTTAAACAAAAAAAAAATTTCACGGTTAACTGAATTGAAAAAACTCTCAAAATTACCTTCGTATGGAATTCGTGGTGTTGTTCTAGGTTGGTTATGTTCATACCTTAAACAACGATTTCAGAGAGTAGAAATACCTTACTGGAATAATGGAACATTACATACACACCTTTTTGATTCTTTGCCAATTGCAGGTGGAGTTCCGCAGGGATCGATTTTAGACCCTATTCTCTTCCTACTATGCGTAAACGATATGCCCTCGACGATTAGTAACGGAAGAACATTTCTCTTTGCGGACGATACGAATATTCTTTGCAATAAAGAAACATAATACAATAATAAATACTAGTAAATAATACAATATCAGATATTTCAAATTGATTTCGTAATAACAAAATACTAGTAAATGAAAAGAAAACTGTTTCAATGCAGTTCTCCATTTCAAATAAACAGCTCGACACTTCACTGGAAATGAACGGCGTCCCATTGACTGATGTTAAGGTAACAAAATTTTTAGGTTTTTCAATTCAGTCAAACCTTAAACGGAACGTCCATTTAAATGAATTGAACACTAAATTAAGTTCTTTATGCAATGCTTACAGAATTCTTTCAAATTCAGTCAGTCTCCACACTGCTCGTTGTGTATATTTCGCGAATGCTCATCCCCGCCTGAGATATGGCAGAATATTCTGGGGAAATAGCTCTAGTAGCTCTTATAGCTCCCAGACTTTTAGATTACAAAAACGACTTGTATGAATAATAAGCAAATCCCACCCACGTGATTCTTGTAAGCATCTCGTTATTAATCTAGGTATTTTACCATTACCTTGACTCTTACTACATGAATCAGTGTTTTTTGTCAAAAATGACTTTCGTCAGGGTGGGAATATATTTTCAGCAAACGTCTTTGTCTACAAACTCCTCGACTCTACTAACTACTACACTCGACGTAGTAATCACACAACAGCTCACTACAAAAAATTCACATATAATACATGTACATTATTTTACCTTGTCAGATGACATTAAACAATTAAATTCGATACAAAAATTTAAGTCCCAAGTAATTTTTTTTCTGCTGCACAACTGTTTCTATACAATTAGAGACTATACTGAGCATCCAAAAGGAAAGTTAATATAATTTTTAAAATGACATTTAATATCATTATATATCATTTGGTTGTATACTTGTAAAGAACCTGTAACTAGTATTGTACTTTCCCTTCTGGGTCAATGACCCCCATCTTCGATCAGGTTTTCGTTCAGTTTCCCTGATCCTCGAGCAAATGCCGAGTGGCCCTTAGTTTTGCTTCTGGACATAAATGTAACTTCAAATTAAACTTCTCCCCATAGCACATCATACACGGTTTTTAACTGTTGTTGACGTAAATAAATAAATAAATTGTAGAAAATTGGAAAAGTTTTTAGTTTTTCCACGTTTTCTTACAACTACAAAATTGAAGATACAGGATTTCCTTCATGTAACATTTGTTGGTTATAATGGTTGGTTACGGTTTAACATTTGTTGCATATGACATTCGTTTTTCATTAAGGTCTTGTACATTTTTCCGATACTTTTTGTGATTTTCGTGCAATATTTGCAATTTTAAAATATGACAAAAACAAGGTTTTCTCAAAAAGGCCCCACAATTTTTCATTAACCTTTTAGTAGGTATGTACTCTGTAGGATGGCTTAAACGCCATATGGCTATATTCTTTTGTTTTTTCAAAAAATACAAAATAATAATTTTTTGACTCGTCTCTCGTCAATATTTAAAGTAATATCAATATTATATTTATGAGTACATGTGCTTTAAATAATGTCAGATATAGTTTCTCGAAAACTCAACCGTTTTCTGTGAAAACGTGCTCAAGACTTTGCATTTTCAGAAACGCTCAAACACCATTTTCTCAAAACGGCTCCAATTTGTTCTTCAAATGACTTCTAATGAATTTTTTCGACACATCAAATTTTTTTGTAAAGAAAGAGCTTCAAATTTCCAATTTACAGCAAATTTCCAAATACATTACATTTATGATAATTTCATTACGACCTTTGAGAGAAATTATATCAAATAATTATTTAAATTCATACTTCCCTAAATAAAGTACATGCAAATGTCGTGTACAAAAAAATTAATAAAAATGTATTACGTGAATATCTGCCTAAAAAATTAAAGGACCTTCAAACTGAAAACAGCCGTTTTCCCCTCAATCGATTTTTCTGTATAAATGACCCACAAAACATGATTCTATCAACACAAAGCTTTGGAGCAGCGAAAGCAGTAGCGAGAAAGTAAAATCGTGACACAACGTAAAATATTTTATCCATAGTTTAAGTTGAGTTCTTCTCTATTTACAGGTTTTGCTCCAGATGTGAAAGTGTGGGAAGTCACGTTTTCCAAGTCAGGTGAATTCCAGAGTGTCAACCGTGCGTTTGAGCTGTCGGGTCATTCTTCAGGAGTGTTTGATGTGGCCTTTAATTCTGATACCACCCGGATGGCAACCGTTTCTAAAGATGGCACGTGGATGCTGTTTGACACCAACGGTTAGTTTTCTCACCTTTTTGTCCTTCACCAAGAACCCAAGAAGTTGTATTAATATAAATACAATGTCAATACAGAAAATGGAAATTAATAAATACAATACATTTTGAGAAAGAAAAACTTTGAAGTTTCAGCCATCTTGTGGTTTGAAGGATTTAAAAGTGTTTAGGTCTCTTTCATTAAACAAGATTTAGTTGTGAAACATTGAAGAAAAGTAGTTGTAATGATATTTCATTTATTACAATTATTTTTAATTATAATAATTGTCATAAGATTATCCCTTGATGAAATGTGTATTGCTATTTCTATTTTTCTACAGTTGAATTCAAGAAGGGTGAGGATCCTCATCTGCTCATGTCTCAGAAATATCCTCTTCAAACTGGTTCTACTGCACATCTGGCTTTGTCTCCTACTGCAGATGTGATAGTAATAGGAGCTGGAAACCAGCTCCATTTCTATGTTACCCGCACTGGAGAACTGGATCGCACCATTAAAAATATATTTTCAGGTAGGGAAACAAATTTATATTTGCAGACTAATTATTTTCAGTTTAGTTCGTATTGAGCATGTTTGAAGGTTATCCTCATGTTATGGCAGTTTTCTTTCGTATCTCCACAAAAATCTTTTAAATTGTGTGATTGTAATTCATATCCCCCAGATTTATATTTTTCTCAATACTTCACTGCTCTGCTATCGACTAAACGCAACCAGAGGAACAAAAAACCAGACTTAATGTACGGCGTCCATAATAAATAAATAAATAAATTGTCATTAACTTCATTAGGCCGATAAACACCAAGCCAAACAGACGCGGTTGAAGTTTGTAAACAGAGACTATAGCCAAGATTTATGACCAAGTCTGTTTTTGTGATATCGGCCATGTGTCGTTCGATACTTTTCGTAATATCGTCTTCTTACAAGAAAAAAATTTAAATAAGAAACACCTTTGCTTTTAATACGTGCAACGCCATCTTCCATTTCACATCGATAGGATGTGACTTTAGACGCGACAGTTACAAGAAGGTCAAGATTTATCGCAAGAACATATTAGAAAATTTGTACTGGAAGCAAATGGCTACGTAAAAAGGTTGTAGTAATTTTTGGGGCATGCTGACGAGACGAATTTGTCATTGACTATTGATGATATAGAAACCATGAGCAACGGAGTGCTAATTACAATAAATTGCACAAAAAAATTGAATGTTTGTAATTCCCAAAGAAGGTCCTTCCATTCAATGCATAACATTGGAATAAAAAATATGCGAACGTACGCCCATATAACCTAGAATGGAGAAGCTTTATCCTAAATTACAGAAATGCGAAATGCACTTAAGTTTGGATATACACAAAATAGGAGACACTCCTAAAAATTTAGCGGAATTTTGAAAATTAGACTCTCTTGAGCTCTACACAGTGTTTTCAACGATCATGAACCACAATGCTAGTCGTAAACGGTGTCGGTCTGATCTTGTTGAAAGAACTTCGATATCTACCCAATCTAAGTAATACGTGCCGCCGCTGGAAATAGAAACATAAATCTTTCCTAAGAATTGTGACCACAAAAAAGTTTTTTTTTCCCCATAGAGGTTTAGATTCCACATCCTTCGTAAGAACAAAAAAATGTGTTGTTTTTATTTTATTTCTTTCATTGAATTAGCTGTATGAATTTCCTCCGAAAATAATGACTCTTTATGTGAAATTGAGTTAATTTTTCAAAATTAATTTTTAAAAGTTTATTTGCCGCGAAATTTAAACTTTTATTCAGCATTTATTTCAAACAGTTATTCAGCACTGACGAGGTTGCCTCAACATCAAGTGATTCAAGCACGTCGACGACAGCACTTTTGAACTCTAGTGAAGACTAGAAATTAGCAATAACAATAATGGTTTATTCAGTATTCAGATTGACTATAATGAGAAATTATATGTTAAAAATTAGAATACTGTTGAACATTTGAAAATTAATTTTGTAGATATTATTTATATTGTATGCGTATGTTACGTATGTTGTTTGTCATTTGTTTTCAAACTTAAATAAATAGTTTGAAGATCACTTTGCTCCTTAACCCCGGCGGCCATTAAGATTACCTTTTCATTTCTCTGTGCGGTTGCGTTATGCACATATATTAACGGGGAAAATTAATAAATAAAAATATATAAATAAACATCCGGCGTCGTCGAAGGTTTTAGCAGCTCACCGACCGTTAAAATCAACCATACGATGAGTTACAGCTATCGGTATATCATATGAGTACATTTATCCCAAGAAATATATTAATTCTTGTTTTTTCCTCTTAAAAAGTGGTATTACGAAAAATATTGAACGATGCACGGCTCATAGCACAAATAACAGACACGGTTGGTTATTTGCTGTTTATCGACCTAATGGCGTTAATAACAAAATTGTTTTTGGTGTCTTTTAGGTCATATTACTGGTGTTCTCTTCGATTCTACTGGAAAACTGGTCTTGGCTTCTGGAGAAAAGCATGTGCGTATATTCCACAATGTGACTGGTCAACGTGAAATAGCTGTAACACTGCGTGAACGTTTGCATCCAACTCTTTCATCAGCTCAGCTTGAGCGAATGCGACAGCAAATTGCGGATGCAGAGGGTTTTCTAGCCTCTGTTGGCGAAACAAGCTGAATATGACCGACTGGCATCAGTGGTTCTGTCCTTTTATCACTTAATAAGGTTCAGTCACTGTTTCTTTCTTTTCCAATACATTCAATTCTTTTTATAGTTTATCATGATGCTCATATATTTGCCTAAGCTTTTTCCAGCCACTTTGTAATTTACATTATGTTTCTTTTTTCAAATTCAATTGATGAAGTGTATCCAGTGTTGTGTGTATGTTGTCACTGAAATGTTCCTGAATGGTTTGATGTCACCTTAATGAAGAATTTATGCTCTTACTTCATATTGATGAGCCTATTGTCATTGATATCATGAATTAAATAAAATAATACATCAAAGGATAAGAAAGTTAACTATCAGATGATGACCTGTAATCAATTTGGAATTAAATGTTTGATGGTGTATATTTTGGTGTGATTATAAAATATCTGTACAAGATACCAGTCGGTGAGAATATTATTCTGGCATTATTCTCAGAGTTTTTAACAGAATAATAACAAAAACACTTCCAGCAATTGCCTTTGGTATAAATCAAGTTTAAGAGATTTTGAAGTAGCATTAGTACTCTATGAACACAACCTCGCACTTGGAGTTACAAAATATAGGAAGCAATGAAATTAGCTTCTCAGTATTTTAAAGATATAATAATATTTGAATACATAAACACATTTTGATCAAAAGAAATATCAAAAGATTCAATCACAAGAATATTAAGTTTCAGTAATGCTTTCATAAAAAATGCATATAGAGAATATGTGCAAGAAAATATAAAATTGGAGAAAATGTCAAATTTAAACATACTTACTATTCCCATTGTAATGAAATTGATTAAACAAGAGAAAATTAGAAGAGAATTATGGTGTAAGATATGTATTGAGCCAATGATAATTGCCATACTGATTGTGAAAGCTTTCCTTATAGTATTCACTACATCAATAATGTTATTGTGTTGCATTTAAAATGACTCTGACAGGTCGTTGTGTTCACTGGTAATTTGAAAAGAATTTTCCAAAATTTCTGAAAAATTTAATTATGGTTATATATGGTTTGTGCATGTTATAATTGGTTCCTAGAATTTATATGTACCATATCTTCAAATGGCACATTGATTTTGATAAATAATATTTGTGACTGAAATGTTGAATCTTGTATGTTATGTATATAAATCAAAGAATGAAAGTCTTAGATGTAATGAAAATTAATATTGATGTGCAATGAACATATTTTATAAAGGAATTTAATTACATGAGTTATAAGACCCAACATAATGGACAATAGTAATTTCCACTGACAGAACATTATTGTGTAAAGACTATTGAACTGTAAACTTTAATTAATATACTGTTATGAGTTTGAGGTCTTTTAAACGACTATGACTGATAAAGTTTGTACAAAATATTGTGTACTTTCTAAAAAGTCTCACTGACTGCATACAACAAATTTTTTCTAATGATACTATATATGAAAATAATAAATGAATTGAATTGTTGTGATTTTGAACTTCATACGTTCAGCTTTTGTTTTATTTGAAAATGAATTCTATCCCCAATGGCAAATTTTATATTTATCCTAGTTTCATTATTGTGTCGGTAACTATACGAACGTCAATGACCTTCATATCTTATAGAGGGGTTGCACTTAAGATTCATGTCTTGTTTCTAGTTAAGGAAGAAATGGAAGTAATTATCTGAATTAATTTGTTAAATAGTTTTTAATTAATTAATTATTTTATTATAATAATTTTAATTATCAATTAATAGCAGTTATTTAAATTTATATTTCCGTATCTTACCTCCCTCATCAATCTCATATTTAATACTCTCCGATTTTCTCAAACATGTCTGGTAATAATACTTAGAGTTGGACAGTGTTCAAAATTTAATAGAATACATAGACAATAGTGCAAGACCGGCAACTCCTGACTCGTTGCTGGTGAACCCCAATTCTTACGCCGTCTACTGTGTGACTACAGACTCGTTCGCTGTCAGTGTTTCGAGTATATACTGTTATTTATGAGATACTTCTTCATTTAATCAATTTCTGTTGGGCTTAGGCAATTGTTGAATTGTTTACTTAACGTTGGTGAATAGTTGTATTGTGTTTGGTTGTAATTTTTCAAATTTGCGACACAAGGGGAAAGAACTGGGAATTTCCGGTTACTTGTTTTCGTCCTTTGCGCTCACGAAGTTGATAATGTAGTAATTAAATTTCACTTGAGTTAACGAGTGTTATTTTTTTTAAAGATTGATTCAATTACTAACTAAAATCGGACAGATAAAGAAGTAAGTTTGAGTAGCAATGTCCTTATAGTGTGTTTTGTAATTAAACATAAGCTCTAATGCATTCTTTTTTCGTTCTTACTTTTCATTAATTTCTGATCCGAGATTTCATAAAAGCTTGGATTAACACTATTAGAAAGGAGAACCGTCCACAAAGGACTGCTTTATCTGTTTGCTCACACAATTTTTGTCCATAAGATACATTTGTTATTAACAGGCCAGAACATGAGACTTACCTGCAGAAACATAAGACAGAGCATAAGAGTTATTTGCAGAAACATTGATTGTAGCCTCAAAAACGATCAGTATCAAGAAATTATATTTTAGAAAACGAAACAGATGCTGAATTGCAATTTAGTGAGGTCAATAATGATAAATCAGTTTTTTGTACTGCTCCTCGTTGCCCCCTAGTGTGGAATCTTAATTGATTTTAACGCCCAATTTTAAATATATTTTTAACTTATATTACTGTCAAGAAACAGGACAGTAGCCACATGGTGTTTATTTCAATGCTATACATATCTGTCAAATTTCATTTATCTATAAAAATATATTGTAATTAACTGGGGTCCAAATCAAACGACATTGGTCTACGAACGGTATGGCGTAGTATTTATAACCTCAAACTTGTAAGGCACAGTAACGCTTCGCCTCTCATGTACAATGTACAATTTCATTGCTTTCCGTGGCTCCACCCACGTACGCATTTAATATAGTATAAAACATGCTTGACCCTGCCCAACGCATTTTATTCCAAATTACTTTTTGCTGAACACTTTGAACATGAGATAGTTTGACGTTTTGCTACGCGTGTCGAATTTGGTGATGAGGCTCCAGCCTTCGGCCTAGGCGATTAATATGAAACATCATTGAGCTTATTCAATGCATTTTATTTCAAGTTCTTTTTTAATTAATTAAAACGTGTCATTCTCATTTGAATTACGAAGCAGAATACCCTTGTAAATGACACCCGCTCTTCGCTTTCCTTCAGCGATCTTGCGTCGTCGGAGACGATTCTTTTAGGATACGGGATACGTCTCAAAGTTCTTATTGAAGTAATTCAGAAATATTAGCATACCACGCCATCAAGAGAGAATTGGCACCATGGAGTTATGAATACATTTCCAACCTCTTCCATGTTCCGCAAGTGAAGCCAATCCGCCTTATTGGTGTGCCTAAAATGTGTCTGTCAAACACGATAGTAAATGGGTAGTACCCCTTTTTCTATGGAATTTAATAATATTCGAAATATTGAAGAGTAAAATAAGTAAAACAGAGAAGCTCCATCACAAAGTGTGGGGTCACACTGAAGTGTTTTCATTGCGTGAAAATCAAAATAACTTCAAAATTAAGACGTCAAGAGTATTACTAAATGCGCATCGTCTGTCTTTGAAATTTCTCTCATGATCTCTTACAAGTATGCAATTAACTAAAACTTAACATTGCTGACATTCAGAAAGAGCAGTGATGCCCAAATTATTTGGGAATACTCTTGCAGGTGATGTTGTCACAATATTCGAGAAGTAGCTACCATATTAACTACATGATTTAAAAAAGCACATTGTTTTACCGTACTACTACTTCTTTATTTCACCATTTACTTACATAAACATTAAGTATTCTCATCTGAAGTCAAAAGAGCAGGGTCCTAAAGTTTAGAGTTTGTAGATGGGCCAGTAATACAATTGATGTCAACATTGTGCAAAACATTCGGGTTTCTTTGTAGACGTCAAAAATAATGTTAGTTGTCCTTTTGATGACACTTTCAGTGAGTAATTACTCCTGCATAATTTACTTCTCTTAGGTGTAGTAGAAAAACCGCTAAAATTGTTGGAACGGCGAGTTTCTACAATTACGTATCGTAAGGAAGTTGTATCAAAATCCTCTTCTTGAAAATGAACCTAACATAACCTGCTGTATGTACTAGACTGCCAGTTGTTTTGCTCAAGTAATCCATAGTGCTCTCCTCTTTGATATGAAGAGAAAAAAGAAGATTAACCAATATCTTTACGGTGATACGATGCTGGCTTCCATCTTCCAAGACCGGCATTGTTGTCTCCGGAAGCGAGACAGTTGAGTGTTTGAAACTGAAAGAGACTTATTGTGCATTGAATGTGAATACAAATAATGTTGAAACTCAAAGATGAATCATCTTCGATGGATACCGAAGGTGAAGCACCCCAGAATTTAATTGATGTAGCGTGGCGTTCAGAAGAATATGGTAAGTAGATTTATTTTTGTACTTCTGTGGCATGCCTTCGCCGAGGACAACAGCTAGGTTACGAGTAGTGCCTACTACTCCTTTGAGGATTGAGATCAGTCCCAGTTGGCTTATATTTATGGATATGCTCATTTGGTAGTATAAAATGAAAGCTAATTGACATTTTTATTACGCTAGGCTTGTTTCACATGCTATTACCTACTTTTCACGTTGTGAGATGCTCAGCAAATAATGTAGAAGTGAAGATCATGAATGTAGAAATGAGCATAAGATGTACTTTTACACGAGAATAAAAAGGCATTTATCTGTGATGGCCAGTAATATGAAAATTAACCACTTGTGCTACAGAATGGCACAGACTTTTCCTATTTGTTTTCTGTTTCCTTCGGTCTCGACTATCTTTACAAACTTGCCACATACTCTTGTCAGATATTTACAAGCTTCATCAAGTGGATTAATTCCTATGTCACCACTTCTAAACAAGTTTTAAGATCTGAACCAGGTCCACAATAATTGTATGCAGGGAGATGTAATTCTAATAGTAAATTATTAATTGGCCTATTTATAATACCAGCACCATGTATTTCAGATTTCCGTAACGTATGTGGTATACTGTATACAAATCGAATGAGTTA